TTAAACACACCAGCGTAATGTTCATTGCGTAAGTTTCAGGGGATATTAATACTTCTTCCCGTCTAAACATAAAACAGTGCTTCGAAGTTGAAAGTATAAAAACGGAATTCACAAAGAAAAAACTCTTTATTAATAATACATCCGCAGATTTAATAACAAACCTTCGTTATATTGCAAATCTGACGATAAGAACCATTTAGGTATATGCAAATTTGGGAGAAGGATAGGAGAGGATACACATTGAATATTATAATGTAAATATATATATATATATATATATATATATATATATATATATACAAACATACAGAGTCCACCATGAATTTGTTTCAAAACTTACTCTAAAATCTACACATTTTCGGCTATGATTAATGATTAATTTTACTGGTTATGCAATATTTTAATCTGACGAAAAACGTTTCTATTTCTTTTGGAAAAAGCGTTTTTGTAAATCAGGACTTCGGTTAGTCAACAATTTCATCACAACTACAAATAACCTTTCAACATAAAACGTCTTAGAAATTGTGATTTATCAAGTCAGTTGCTCAGACTGCGACTCAATTTATATTGGTCAAATCAACCAAATTCTAATAAAACATCATTTTGAATTTTGTTCACGTATTTTTTATATACACCGTGTCCTACAAACTATAAAAACTACTAAAACTAATAAAAATCAGTTTACATCATTATTAATATAATTTAAAAAAGTGATCTAATCTTACATAGACACAAGAATATATTCTTGCATGTATCAAATGCTCACTTCTTCATGATTTTTATTACATTTTTATTTGTCAATAATCCATTTTTTGCGACTATCATTTTCTTGAATGCGATTTACATAAAAAACATAATGATCTCTAGAATACAATATGAAGACTTTGCATAAATTGAATTTAAAATTGTAACACCGCCTGCATTTCATAGCCGTTGTATTTCTTAACATAATGTTTTCATCTTTAGATAACGGACACTTCAGATATGCAACAACAACCAATATCAGAAGAAAGTTTTCTTTAATTAAAAATTTTATGAAAATCTTAAATATAAACTAAGAGTCTAGTATAGCAAATTGGAATAGATTTATTATTAGACACATGTGGTAAAATAATTTATAATAATATACTTAGACCGTTTAATTTCTTTACAATTAACATATACATGCAATTTTTTTTGCCAAAAATCCTGAACCGATTTTTGAAATTTATAAATTGTCTGTAAAGTATGAGTTGATAATCGTGCTGATTAGTTTTGGTTTGGTAATGGTTAAATTTTTTTCAGGCGATTTTGATATTAGAGGTTATGATCTTACAACGAATAGTTTTAAAGATCATAAGCTCTTGAAAAATGGCTTAGTTATAAAAATAATTAATTATATTTTTTAAATCAATTATTTAGACTGTTTAAAGTTCATGCAATTTGCCTCAATTATTTATTTATTTAGTAAATACAAATACAGATTGAAAATTATTTTTAATGCGTATGACAATTACCAATGTAATTGAGATTCAAGTATAACAATTGATTTTGAATGAGTGTGATGATTGATTGATTTTGAATGAGTTTTCCATACGTATTTATCAGCAGCTTTGTCTATTACATATTTTTCCAAGAATGAGCATATGCGTTTCAGTATCATTTTTCCATATTTAAAAAAGTAAAATAGCATCAGCAAACGAAACGTTTGAAATTGTAATACATCCGAAACGTAGCGTGAAATTGAATCAAGTCCTCGAGATAGAGATGGCAAAATATTCAACATCTACTCTTCTGGAATATTATTTTGTATCATGTAAGTCCCTTACAAGGGAATAACACAAACGCCAAAAGGGAGAACAAAGTTGGAATAATCTGATTACCTCAGTACGAGTCGAATGGAAATTCGAAATGAATTTTAAATTGTTATTAGGACTACTAAGCGATATCAGCATGTGTATGGAGAATGATATTTCGCTTTCGCGCCTTTGTTATTGACAATTCAATTTATTACGATTTCGTGTGATAGGGACTTAACATGTAATTTAAAGGTGACGAAAGGTGAGGCACTACTGGCACTCAAACTTCACGAAAATCTACCCTAAAATGAAAGTTTCATGATTACAAAATTTGCAATAGTATATAAAACTTCAATATAGATACAATACAATCCAATACATCAATTGCCATAAGCTTGGTCGTGAAACATTTAATTATTATGCAACAAAAAATATTTTAACATATGCCAAGTATCTTTAAAATTAGCTAAAAATATTATACATTTTGTCCATATTTATGCAAAAACTCCTGATATTATTTAAGAATGGTGCTAAAGAGATTGCCTAAAGCAAATTGTCTTGGTTAAAAACAACTTTAGCATAAATAATGTGGTACCATGTTATTCTATATGATGATTTTCTCACTTTTGCCTTTAGAAAAAGAGTAGATTACTACGTAACAATTACCACAATTCAAAGAAAAGCCTCTTACCAACAATATATTCCAGAATGTAATAAATCTAGGTGTTTGGTACATCAAACGAAATTATTTCGACCGATTACTCATAATAATTTCAGTTGTTGATTGAATGTCACTTGGAAGAGGGATGCTTTCGAGCATGCTATAATAATCGCCCCGAGGTACAACTGTTTCACAAGGGCTGTTTATTAAAATTCACGAAATGGATTTCAATATAAGGGTCTTGAACCGTGTTTTCATTGCAAAACGGTTATGATTACAAATAGATTTATATCGATTGATAATTAATTTTCAAAATTACAAAATTTGGTTAACATGCCAGTTGTTGGTTCATTTTGACATAGATATTGCTATCAATTAAAAATAAATTATGATTTTACATGTAATCTACATCTTTGCTATACATAATTAATTAATTATATCAATAAATAATATTATCTATTTCTAACTATATACACTTATATATATATACTCATGAAAATATATTATTTAACCTACTATAGTCTACCTCCATCCAACATTTTTTTATTTGACATTAAGTGACATAAAACGGACTGTCTTCAAATCGAATTGTGTCAGATGATGCTTTCAAGTGAAAACATTTTCACGTTTTCCCCAGTATTAAATCACAGCAAATAGAGTTTTCTGTGGGGTATAAAATGTTTGCGAAAAAATACTGGGAGGATGACTCAATGTGGAAAAAACTGAGAAAACATCAGAAATAGTCAGAAACAGTAAAATGTACAATAATTTGGATTGGATTGGATTTCTTGATTCTTTAGTATAATGACCTGTAATAGATAGTGAAGTAATGTTTTTGGACCCCTGCAGTTCCAACAAGTATTATTCCAATTAGACTTACTTAGAATTTTTTACAACCTACCATCTTCAATAGTCTTTTTTTAACTTTACTATCATTACTTATTATAATTGTGTACAGAACGAGTTCTGTATCATGCTTCGTTATTAAATTAATTCTAGTCGTGTTGAATATGTAGTTCCACTGGTATCAAATACCAGTAGCTGATTATATTTCAATATTGCAAGAATATGATTTATGTATCATCATATGGATATCAACATATCAACATTTAATTAGATTCGGATGAATCTCCTTATTCAACTGGGCTCCACATGGGATCCAAAGATCATTTGTAAAATTTAATGTGTCTTCTGAGATAATGGGTAAATGAAGTATTTAATTTAAAAGGAAATGGATATATCTTTTTAAGTTGTTACAAAAGTTTAGGCATGTTGACAATTTTTAGTACCCAGTTACTTTTTTTAGTACAGTTACCCAGTACCCAGATAAACAAGCTAAGTTTATCAGATATCAGAAAAACTCAAAAGCTCATGGTGAAGTAGTACATTTTTTTCACTAATTTTCCTTGAATTTTTAGTTATGTCTCTAATTTCTAGTGCACTTGATTTATATTTTCATGAAACAGAAAAATTTCAGAACATAACTATTTTTGTTTTATTTCTTGCTATGTTTTAACCTGGTATGGAATCCATAATGATGAAAATGATATTAATTATGAGATGAGCCAGAAAACCTGTAACAATTTGGAAAACAAAATTATCAATATTAGGAATTGGTATAATTTATATTTAATTATATTCAATTATATTTATTGCTAAAAGAATATCCATATTATTAAATCAAATCCACAATTGATTCAATTACTCCTTCTCTTGATATCATTTGTATTATAACATTAATAAAGATATCCCGCTGATATAAACTTGAGAATGCAGAATACATTTTATTTTCATTAAAAGAAAAAAGTTCAACAAACTCCATTCGATTGCTCATTTGTCATGATCAATTTCTATTACATTAATTTGGAGTCAAATCAGAATCAGCAAGCATGCTGTGCAATTGTATTTTGGATCCATAAAAGAATATAATCGTGCCATTATTATAAACTCATTTGGTATATGTTTTTTTTTATTTAATTTTTTTTATTTAAACAGTTTTGTATTAATCTCCAAATATTGTAAAACAATCAGGAATGAACCTATGGGTCCTTTACTATCCCACAAATCTGTATTCGAAAATGAAATCTAATATGCCTAAAGTTATTTTGGGTATTCGGTGTCGAAATCGCGATAACAATACTAATTGAGGGCGAATGACCAAGCAGAATGTTCCCTCTGACAATTAGCCAAATCCTATTCACGAGCACCATTCGAAAAGCATCAGCAAAAAGTGCAAAATTTAGGGATATATATTGAATTGAGGTCTAAAATTATTTTAGTAGTACTAAACAGATGTTAGAGAGTGTAACGTTATAGTATTGATTAGTATAATATTTCACATTGTAATAATATTATTAGATGTTGATTACTAACAAGGGTAACCTCAGATTTGCTCTTTTGGGATTTTGATGAATCTTTGGTTGGTGATAGTGTTGGTAGTCAAAACTGTATCTATGTACTTGTAACTGCTCAAACATGAACCTCCCTTATTAAAATCATTTTTGTAATATTTTTCTTGATAATCTAATAATATTAGTTAATTATTTTTTCTTTTTTTCCAGAATCCCTAGCCCAAGAATTGGAGCTCGAGCGCAAAGCAAGGCAACAGCAAAGTGTGGATGGTGACGTCAAATCTCCTCTCCAGGACCGAGCTGGTTACTACAAAAATTCAGTACTTTTTAGTAGTGCAACCTAGTTAAATGATGAAAATCTGGACAAACAAGAAGATAATAATATAATTCTTCAGAATACATCCGAAGAATCCGCTTGAAATCACTGCCAGAGGATTGGAGAACGAAAATTGGAGGCGAGGGATGATTCTTTACGGAACTGACCTGGGTTAAGAAAAATCAGTTTTTACTTATAATTTACATGTGATATGATTTTGTGTTGTTTAGTGATTTTAGTTAAATTAACTTTTTCACCAACACCCAGATCAGTCCGATTTTGTACAAAATCTTGTAAATATAATAAATATTTATATATGTATATACATTTATAACAGTAGGCTTAAAGTCAAACATAGATCGGTAAAAATGATTTAAAATGAAATATTTATTGAGAATGTTGTTATTATGATAAGACTGCTTATGTATAATCAAGACGTGGATATCATGAATTAAACAATTTTGATCTTGATATTTGCTGTTAAGATTTTTTAATTATCTGTACATAATTATTCGACAAAACTAAGTTTGTTTAATGTGTTCTTACAATTTAATTTTAATTGTACAAATTATAAATGTTTACAATAAGATATTTAAGTACCGCATAGTTTTCCTTTTGCCATAATAAAACATTACATATAAAATACCTATTTGAATATTAGTCGAATAATAAACTTTATTATATAGCAAACTTAATCAATTACATTATATGATAAAAAAATTAATCTATACATATACAAAATTAAGACATCATCTCATAATTTAATCGTCGTGTTTAATAGCAAAAATGATCATGATTGAAGCAAAGTCTGGGCAAAAAATGTCATTTTCTAGTAACTTTTATATTGCAATGACAATATTTGTAGTTAATTTTGTCCATATGATGAGATTATAGAAAAAAATTGAAACAAAAATGACTTTAAAAAGCCCAATGCAGATATTTGAAACTAGCAAAGGAATGAATGTGCTCTCGCAATTTAGTTAAATTAATTTTACTATAGATATACATAAAGTTATTATCACCGTGCACAAAGGTTTTCGATGTAAAATATTTAAATCCAAATTTAATTAATCATTAGTTATTACTCAAATCTGTGACTTTTGATTGTATATGGATATAACACAAAATTTATGTTTAAACAATCTTTTTGTTGCAATTGTAAATATTATGTGTGCGTGTGCCTTGTATTTAGAAGAAAGGAAAACATTAAAGAAACATTTAAAATGAAATATTGCTAATTGTTTTATTAATTGAAACTGATAATTTATTTATTTAAATGTATTATTTTATAATTTATTTACAATCAAGTCATTAATGAATATTGTTTATTTTAATTTTATGTGGACCTTAATTACTATTTTTATTTGAATTAAAATTTTTCTATTGTTGTATAAAAACATTCAGTAATTTATGGGTATATATAATACCCCTAAAGCATAGAGTTTGTAATATACAATATATTTATTATAAGGTCTTTATTCTAAAGTCTATTTTCATTTGATATCATATTTTAGATGCATAATCTAAAGTAAAAATCTGAAATCACTACTGGCTGATATCATATAATAAATATTAAGTAATTTAACTAATAAATAAAGTAAACAATAATAACAGAATACATAAAAATAACATAAAAATAGAATATAAATAAATCAACCAATAACTATTTTCACTAATTTTTGTTAGCATCTTATCACTTACTTAATTTAATCTAATACAATCAATATGAAATTTAATGAAATATAGCTAATTATTTAATTTTTTAAAATAAACATGAATATATTAATAACAACATTTAACAACAACAATAACAAATATAAAAAGATTAGACAGATTTGGATATAATTTTGAAATGAACTATTTTCATTAATTTTTGTTAGCATCTTATCACTTACTTAATTTAATCTAATACAATCAATATGAAATTTAATGAAATATAGCTAATTATTTAATTTTTTAAAATAAACATGAATATATTAATAACAACATTTAACAACAACAATAACAAATATAAAAAGATTAGACAGATTTGGATATAATTTTGAAATTACTTTTATTAATCTAAACTATAATAAATTTTATTTAACAAGTATAGGTTTCTTGAAATGTTAAGACATATTTAAATTATAAAATATCTCTTCAATATAATTGCATAGACCTTATACTACATACTGTAAGGTCTATGTATAATTGCAATTAAATTTTTGTTTTTAATAATATTTTTGTCTTAATAATTTATATTTTTTATATATTATGTTTTTGATTTTATTATGTTCCATATGGTAACATACATTTGAAAGTATATATATCAAAACCCCGTTAAGTCGATTTTGATTGAAATTATTTCTCGCATAATACGCCATCTAATGCTGCACCCTGAACTTGGTAACATATGGATATAAAACATAATAATCTTTTTTGTTTAAGACGCGTTGGAAATAGTATTAATAACAGTACACATATTATATTTAAATAAATTTTTAATTCTTTAAATACATTAATTAGAATATACATTTTTATAAAAATATTAATCCGTTCATAATCCGTTAAACGATCTGTCAAAATTAAAAATATTATTTCTAATGTGGCAAACCTGACTCCGGATGTCTTCAGCGCTTTGTTCATGACGTTTCGGCAACCGCCATTTCGTGACAAGTAGCTGTCAGTTTTGTTATGATTTATTGAATTTTTTATTTAAATAATTAAATAAATATAAAAACAATTACTAAATGTGAGTGCTAGTGCAAATTGTGGGCAAAAGTCAAAACACCGGTAAGTTTAAATTACATTTTTAATCTGAAAGTATTTACATGAAATGTATGTATCAGAATTCTGATGCTAAAACGAGCTGTCAAACTAAATAACTTACAATGTATTATTATTGATAATTCTATAATCCATTAGTAACTATTTTGAATTATTTACAACCTTAGCATGTCGCGTATTAAATAATATAAAAATGAAATGCCTATTGATAAATTGATAAATGAAAAATTAAAAGTCCAGGGGCGTAGCACCCGCCGTACCTTCAGTATATAGTATGAGGGGGCTCCAACGTGAGTGAGCAAAAATTGATAAAAAATTGTCTTGTTTTTTAACTTGCAAAAGTCAATCATCAATGTTTTATTAATAATTATAATTTTAGTAATCACAAAAATTTTGTACCAACAAATTTTATTTTCAAAAAAAAAAAGGAATTGAAGAATATATTCTTACATTCTTAAGTACCATTTGGAGTAAGTCAAAGTTTACCTTTACAATTTGATGTCATTAATAATGATACACAAAACATTAGTAATAATAAGTATTTTGAAGAAACTTTGCGATTTAAGATTTTATTCAATGAAATTTTTTAAAGGTCCTCAAAAGAATTTGTATACTTGATAGGGCCATGACACACTAAGTTTCTATAACAATTCTTCTTAAATATGTTTGAATTACATAAAATTATATCTAAATTTAAATTTATTAGGGTACCATAAAAAATGTTGACTAAAATCTAAATCGCAGATTTTTAAATAGTATTATTAATACTAATTTTCTGAAAGTCTTTATTAATGTCTTCAGATTGTGAAGACAAATTGTGACAAGAACTTAGAAAGAAAAACTCTAAATGCTGCTTATATACTCACATTCTTTGATTTATCTTTTTTTTTTAAATTAAAATTTATTGGTACAAAGTTTTTATCATTACTAAAATTATTAAGGATTATTAAAGTGTTAATGATTGTCTTTTGTAAGTTAACAAAGGGAAGATTTTATTAATTTTTGCTCACTCACGTTGGTGTATTTGATTAATTAAAATTAAATAAATTCACTTTGGTAATGCTCTTAACAAATTAATCATCCATTGCATATTATTCCTGCAAATAAATCACTATTATTTATTATTTCTATTATCAATTTCTGATATTCTTCAGAAGTATCGTCGTATTGAATCTATATATGATGTGGTCTTCTTTTGAAGGGGAAATGTTTTATATAAACGGAATATCGAATAGAAATATTCAGAAGTTGAGGAATTTTGAAATTATTATTATACCTCCGTATATATATACAGAACGATTTATTCTTCCTATGAGATATTCATATTCGCTCATTGCAAAAATCGTTCGAATTCCATCGCGGTGCACTTTTTCCGATTCTGAAAAGGATTTATATATATACATATATATATATATATATATATATATATATATATATATATCACAAATATAGATTTTTGAAAACTTGGTCACCGAAAAACTCGCACTTAAAAGTTCATAATTTTCAAACTACATGAGATATTTTTATCTATTTTTTTCATGGTAGTTATGATCAGTAATAACCCTGTTTTGCCTTGATATTGAGACTTGGGATATAATTTGTTATCTAGATTAAACACCAACTTCAAAAAGACTGAAGGAGATCAAGGCAGTGTCAAGATTGGTTAAACCTTTTTCACCCAAGGATGAAAAAAGCTCTGGTCGTCTAGACGTTGATTACAAAGGAATTGTCTACTTTTGCTCTTACTACCCAACAATCAATTATGATGAGTAAAAGCGGCCTGAATTGAGAAATAGAAACGATAATGTATTCCATTATTTATCAACAGTGTAAAACATTTTTATAAACTAGAACATCATACAAATTAAATAGTCACTCAGCTTCTTGAGACACCAACTTCAAGAAGACTGAAGAAGAAGCTGCCCAAAGATAACATGGAGGACCCTTGGAACTATCATAACTTTAAATGAACAGAATAGTAGAATCACTTATTGAAGTGATTCTCTAAATATGAATGTATTTTTTATCAGATTAATTTATATGTGTGAATGACATAAGCCAAATAGCTTATAGAATTGTCATGTATTCTGATTGCTATTGAAAATAAAATTAAAAAAATATATATATTGACACTTCTGCGTATCCAGCCAACAATTTCATATATCTGTCCATAAGTGAATCAGACATCACTAGACGGATATTTCAATAACATCCGAAAGCAATTCGTTGCATTTCCGATCGCAATTTGGTTACTTGTGTCCCT